GAGCATGATCATTTATCCAAGCTTTCATCCCAGATACAAAATCACGACGTGACTGGGTCTTTAGAAATAAAATAATAATATTACTCTGACTGATCGTTATGTACAATGCTCTTACCATCTTGTTTATTTCCTCCACGGCTTTTCCAAAGTGAGTGGCCTGAAACCCCGTCCTTTTGTATGAATCAAGCAAAGCATGATAGTCTACCCCGTCGCTAAAGTCATACCCCCTTATTTCCAGAGAATCTACGGCGACCGGTTCGCTAGAAGCAAGAACTGCGTCCTTAACCAACTGAGGGAGTTCAGACATTTCCAGAAAATTATACCTCTCACTATCACAATTTACTCTAGAATACCTCTCACGTGGTCCATGGCTCCGTCGTTTTGGTTGACTATATGGCATTCAGCCATGAAGACCTTCGTAATTCGGGCAGCGGTTTGGGTAGCGGTAAACAAATTTTTCACTGGGAAGACTGGGAACTAACTACCTATTGCGGCTGCTCTCTAAAGCTTAACCGCTGAACTGAAATGAGCATTGGTGGCATCTCTGGCATCTTTGCTAAATTCAGCATGAGGAGAAGTAGACGTTTAGCAGCGAAAAAATCGTCCAAATTTTCGGAAACTGAGGGTAGTAGCCAAGAAGAAGCTTCAGATTTAAAGAATGACAACGAGAAAACTTTCTTCACGAAAGGTCACGATTTCGTTATTGATAAAACTCCATCACAACTTGTCACTGGTACTATAGACGACCACGTGCATGTGAAGAACATCACTCAAAGTCGTGTCAACAATGTTACTGCTGATGATGAGCTTTCCAGTAATGACAGCGATGATGAGCAAGATGGGAATGATGAAGATGTCAACAATCTTTTGAATTTAAGAATAACGAGTTCCCAAGAAGATGAAGGAAAAGTAGAGGACTTTATTAGCCTTTCAGATGATAAATCCAAAACAAGAGAGGAAAAAAAGATCAAGGAAAGGAAAGAAAAGAAAGAAAAAGAGTGAGTTTTGAGACTTTCAGAAAAAATAACCACAAAGTGCGGTGAACCTTTATTCACCTCTCTTAGAATGAGTGTTACATTACGCTTAAAAAAGAGGAGCAAAAACAATGGCTGCTTTTATGCTAGAGACGTGTAAGTTGTCAAGAAGCATTAATTTAATGTCTGGGATATTGAAGTTGATTGATGTGAAATTGGGATGCATAAAAGTGGATGACAACAGTGAAAAAAAAAACAGATTATTCTCAAAAAAGACAAAACACTGACTCTTCCCAGTTATTTCTGGAGGTATTGGGCATAAGTGAGTCCCAGTTTACGGTATCCCCTTTTTTTACTAGATGCATTTAACGTCTGAGATGTTAAAGTCATCAACTGTTGAGTGCGTCTGAACAATGCACTTAAAAGGAGACTTTAAAGTCATCAGACATTAAATGCCTTTGTCATATTTACTGTCTTTATACTAGGTGATGACTTTAACATCTCAGTCGACTGAAATGTCTCTAGCATAAAAACAGCCAATGGGTCTGTTTATCCGAGAGTTAAGAGATGGATGATTATTCATATACATTAAATTATCCATCTCTGTGTGGACTCTTTTGGTACAAAAACATGACAATGAAACCCACTGATAATTTGCCTTGTCATTTGTCTATGTGTTATAAATCCGGGTGAACAGATGGATTATCCATCCTGATTAATAATAATAATAATGATGATAATAATAACAGTAATAATAAATATCCTCTTGGGATTATATATAAGGACAAACTAAACATATTGTTTATTCAGACAGATAGCAGATAGTGTCTGTCGGCCCCTTCCATTTTTCTAATGGACTGCTGACATACAGTGACTCAAATTTTCTGACTTTGTTAGCAACCTGCTCGGTTATTAATTTGAAACAGAAATTTCCACCTTTTTTGGCATATCCTGCAACATCTTTTTTAACTGTCATTGATTTAGACAACTATCAACATCCACACCATCATGAGAAGCATTGAAAATCTGTTCTAGGGTTCACCCTCTGGACTCTCACTAGAAAACAAGTGATACAAGACTTACTGATGCTTGTTTTCGGTTAATTTGGTGGCCACTTAATCTACTAAGGATCCTTTAAAGATGGATTTCATGGTATACTGATCATTGGTAGCTATTATTATTAATGTAACCCAAATCTCATTCTTTGATGATTGTTTTTTAAAGTGCATTTCACCCCAAATTTGACAAAATTTGGATGAATTCTACATGCTTTCGCCTTTAAAACAGGGTACTATTGGAGTGAATCAGTTAAAACTAGTGGACTCGATGCTAGGTTAAAGATAACAAAATTTGCCCATTTGAACAGCTTTGGTCATAAGGGAACGCGTCCAAATATTGGCATCGGGTCACACCGATGCCGATCAATTGGGCACCGATTTTTTCCGATTCCGTTGAAGGTCGGACCCGATTTTATCGGTACCGAATGAAACGGAATCGGCAACGGGTCTCAAGTCTTTATCGGGCCAATTAACAAAGGTCATCGAAAATATCTGGTAGCTCAAATAACCCATCACAAAAGCAAAAGCAAAAGCGTGAATGTTGTTTTTTATAACCTTATCTTTCTTACAAATGTGTCTTGTTTGAACCGAAATTTAACGTCACAGTTTCGAACATTTGTTTTTATTTCCTATGACAGAGTATGACCAGAAAATATTAAATTTGTGTATCAAAATGGGCACGAGAAGAAACTGCAGGTCATTCAACAACGCTGAAGAGCATCTTTTGAGTGAAAGACGCCGCAATGTACATTGCAAGTGTACGATCTCAAAATGATAATTTTAAAATAGCTTGAG